TTATATATAGTAAGTTGTATATAAATTGTTTTTTTTTAAGAATTAGTAATTAAATATACTTTTATTTTTTGAAAATATTTTTTTGTGCAAAAAAATTATCAAATAATGTACTAGTAAAATCCATTACCATAAGTGCTATGGTTTCCTGTGGGGACAATATAATGGAAAAGTGATTCAGCATTAGTCAAAGACCACCATAAGTTAGTCCTCCCGTTTACGCACCCATAGAAAAAAGTGACCTAAAAAAGCAAGAAAGTCCAAAAAAAAGAGAATCCATATACCATTAATTAGGGGAAGAAAAGAAAAATAATAATAATAATAAAAAAAACACATGAAAAGAAGCCATTAATTCTTTTATGTGAATCAAGATTCTCTCTAGGACACCTTTTTTTTAAAACACATTATTTATTATTAATAAGTGAGAGATCCACTTGTATATAATGAGTGTCACCTGAATGCAGAGGGTGTATGATATCTTTTGAAGAGAAAATATATCGAAGAAGATCTCAGGAATCAACTATTATTTACTTTTGAGTTTTTTTCTAATCTCAACCTTATTTGACAACTTATTATTTATCAAATTACCGTTGTTCGTCGAAAGCATGGTTTCATACATACTTGTAAATTTTTTTTTTATTAAAATCATATTTGAAACATTAAAAAAATATTTGTTTTAACCATACTTTTATATAATCTAATTTGAGGAATAAGTTTAGATTAAAAAGTTAGAAAATCATGGTATAATGATAAAAAGACTCATCAAAGGACAAGGTTTGTTGGCCCATAGAAAATTAAATAACATTCATTAAGCAAATGATGATGATTAGTTGGGCGAATGATAAGGACATGTCAACTGCTTACCCAAAAATTAATGATTTGAAGTAACAAATTGAACGGCAGTTTGTAGAGTGAGAAGCAATCTTTGCTTGCAAAACTTTCATGTGTTAAAGAGAGGTGGCAACCGCATATGTTTGCATTTAAAATTGATATGATTAGTTGGGTAATGATATTTTTAATTTCACTAAAGAAAAGATTAATTAAAATTCACGTAAATTGATCTGAACACTTTTGATAGTCGAACAAAAAAAAAACGATGAATAAAGATTTGATCAACGGGCATACACATTTGTTAAATCTATAATAACAAGATAAGAGTATAATTTGAATTTTTTAATTTAGTTTAACAAAAGAGTGACTGTGATTCATTCAATCCAATAGCTCAAAATCGACAATAAAAATTTCCTCCCAAATTGGCTAATAATTTTTTTTTATGTTAATCAGGGTCAGATTCTACCCCAAAGTTAACAAATTTCACTTATTTCATGTATTTTTATGCTAACTAAAGCCAAACAAAGTTTTCTTTTTCCTATTTTTTTCTTCTCTCTTTCAAACTTTTTTTTTTCCTATGGAACAAGATTGATTTTGAATTGTATAATTATAAATATGAAAGAAAAATAAATTATTATTTCATATATTTATATTATAGGACTAACGTTGGATGTATTCATGTTACCCATTAACCAGAGAGAGAGAGAGAGAGAGAGAGAGAGAGAGAGAGAGAGAGAGAGAGAGAGATTTGTCTTGCATAGGGGTGATGTGTTTACATTTAACGTGCTCACACACGCAAGTGAGCTGAGCGAACTTGGGTCCACACTTTCGCCACCTTAGCGTTAAAATATACATGGAGGTGTCATTTAATAGCATAAAGTGCAGCTAACAAGGTCACATGATGAGTGTCCAACTATGCCACACACAATCCATCCCTATTCGGCTGCAATTTTTGTATTGTACTGCTGCTTTTGATATTTGTAGTCATGAAAATGACAGCTTACAGTGACAAAATAAAATAAAATAACTTTATAAATATATTTTTATTGGCAAAAAAAAAAAAGAAGGTCCAAATTTATATTAAGGTATTATATATTATGAATTATATAAGTTATAATTTTTAAAAATAAAATTTCAACTTTTAACATTAAAGTTATAATACAGTTAAGTTAGCGTAAAAGTACAACTCCTTAAGAGTATTAATGACCGATTATAATATTGCGTAATCAACTATGAATTAACTCAAACAATTAAAATTTTACATTTAAAAAGATTAGTTTCAACTTGAAAAATAATGACTGTTGGTAAGTCAAAGATGCAAAGCTACTTCGGATTTTAGGAGTTGTCTGTGATACGGAAAAAATAAAATTTTCGTATCGATATTTATTGTGGGTATTTTTTTATCACTGTTATAGGTGTTTTTATCACTGTTGTGGTACCAAATAAAAATAGTAATAATAATTATCACAACAGTAGTAAAAAGACCTACAACAATCGTAAAATGACCGATAAAAGTAATAATTTATTTGTACCGAACAAAAGTGATAAAAATAATTACTACAACAATAGTAAAAACACTCATAAAAATAATAAATTATCCACAAAAATAATAAATTTTTAGTTATAGAATAACCCATAAAAATTATAATAACACCTTTTAAAATAATAAATTTTAAAGATAGGTATACTTCTATTGAAACCACATTATTATGTTAACAAATTATGTCAAATTTTTAGGTCTAAATAATATTACTCGTTTTTGTTGAGAACAAATCCAAGCCAAAAGTGAAACCAAATCCAAGCAACACTTCGGAATACTCCATTAGTTCAAACAGCATTAACATTTTTGTCTAGCTAATTTACTTGACGTACGTATCAAAATAAATGACACTAAAACGCAACTTAGCAAAAGTCCTTATAACCAAACAGAACCCTTCATCTTCTGGTGAAGGTGAAGGGGAGGTAACTATGCAGTATGCACTATGCAGGTCTTAGGTTTATTGAATATCTTCCTATGAAATGAGGACGCAGTTAGAAAGAGCGAGAGGAGATCGAACCTTGTCAAATATAGATTAACAATTTTGAAGGAAAAAACAGGAAAACAGAGTATCCAGACTGTCTTAGCAGTGGGAGGTCATGGAATTCTACATAGTACGTATATGTTTTCTCTTAAATTTTTATTTTTTGGTTCCACTGTCTGACGGCGAGATTCGAACATAGAATTTTCTGTTTTGATACCATGTTAAACAACCATCTATATCAAAAACTTAAACTATTAGATAAGGTATAATTTTAACATTTATACTTCAACAATTCTCTCCTTGGTCTGATCAAAAATAGGTCATCCACGTTAGGACTAAAAAATTCATAAGAGATAAATCTCTTATTGCCCGACACCTAAAGGGTTACAAAAATTCGAACTCAAGTCATTTGACTTTACAGCCCGTCCTTGTTAATTTTCCTCAATAATAGATCATCTATGATATAAGAATGGAGGCTTATTTATTGGTAGGGGGTTGAACTTGAATTTATAAAAATTGAGAAAAAAAATGGATTGAATAGAATCTTACTCCATCTCCTTCCTATCATGCCTCGGTGGAAATTACTTCTAGGTGGTAATTTCCTGTTCTGGCTTTATAAGCTCTCTCTCAACAACCCCAACTACACTGAAATTAACATACAAAGTTCCAGGAAAATACGTCCCATGCAGCCAAAAATTTAAATAAGTGGGCATATTCAGTGCACAAAGATTTGGAGAGGGTTAAATATATACAATCTTATCCTTACAAATAGATAGACTGTTTCCATAACTCAAACTCGTGACTTTTATATTACAATAAAACAACTTTACCATAGCACCAAGCCCGCCCTTTAACCCAAAACTTGAATACAACTGAAAAATTTTTGTTGGAATTTATCCTGAGTATTACTAGTTTATACTTGGCCCCTCATTTCTTCCATTTACTGGGATGTTCTTCTGCTGCAGTTTGGCCGTTAAGTGTCACTTCTTGACATAACTCATGTTTCAATTTCTTGCCTTACAGTAGACCAAGATTGCAGCATAGACTTGTTATAACAAAATCTTCTTCAGATTATGTCATGATCTATTTTGAATTCAGGTAACTTTGATTTAGACAAAAGATGTTTCCACCACTTTTGCCTAACTGTGATTGGGGAAGCCAACTATTATTTTATCCAGATACTGTCATGGAAGCAATTGCATCATAGAGATATTACTTCCAAGAATCTTTTGCTGTACTAACAGAGTAGAATGAGTCAGATCCATGAACAGAGAGAGGATTGGCTTCTCTAATTAGACTCCCGTCTTTTTGGAGCCTGAGAAGGGTCAGAAGTATGCAACGTTACCCCAGCATGTGGAGAGACCTAGATACAAATTTGCTGTTACTTTGAAGATGAAGCAACTGTAGAAAACACTACAAGCAAAATAGTTGTAATATTACAGATAGTCCTAAAACAGATACTGAAAGCTACAAGCCATTTAACTAGAACGCAGACTTTAATCGTTATCTGTAATGATCAAGCTTGAAAATGTGCATCGCATGATATTTTCAATAACTTTCCTCGGTAGTTACAGAAAAGCAGCAACACTTGTATTGCTAATTAGCATATATCGCATGCAATATCGTGTATACTTCGGCAGAGAGATGAAACACCTGATACTCTGCTAACAAATGGAGTTCTTACCAATCCAATGTTTTTTGGTCCTGGTGCCAAACGAGGTCCACAGAGGTCTACACAATGGAGTTGGCCTGAAGACACCTCATTAGTCTGAGATTGAGGGTTTAAAATGGAAAAAAAGCAGGAAATTTTTCTATTATTTTGAAAGGTGCCCTCCAAAAATCTGCAGCAGATATCGAGTTCCAGGGTAATATAAGAACCCGAGATGTTTTCAGACGAGTTATACAGCATCACTCCTGGTGATGAATGATTCCCACTCCCAAATTTGTCAACAGTATTGAATAGCAATTTCAGCTTTCCCAAAAGCATGTATTTAGTTATATTGGGAATCACTTCAGTGATTTCCAACGAAAGCCAGCCGTCTTATAATTTATTGTTCCTTTAAGTTGTTCCCAAGTGCATCCACAATCTCCATGTGTCTTTGCATACTTAATTTCACATACACGAGAAAGTCTTGGTAGAGAGCATTAAGATCAAGTATTTTTCCCACCATACCGTCTTTGCCTTTGCTGAAAGGAGTGTAAAGCCTCTAAGAACTCAGATTCTCCAAATTCAGGCCAATGTGATTGTGTAAAGAACAGTTCGGTGTAGGCTAACTGCCACAATAAAAAGTTGCTTACTCGAAGCTCACCACTAGTCCGTATTAGAAGATCAGGGTGAGGGAAGGCCGCACAACGTGTGTCTAACTCCTGTTCAATAAGAAACTCATTGATGTCTTCGGGTTCAATAAGACCGTCCTTTGCTTTCAAAGCAATGCTTTGGCAAGCTTGCACAATATCACGCTGCCCACTATAATTAACAGCCACAATGAGGTGGAGTCCTGAATTGTTCTTTGTGGTCTCTGTTGCAGCCATTATCAATTCCTGAAGGGGCTTTGGGAGCTTAGAGGAATCCCCAATTACAGAAATCCGAATGTTCTTTCTGTTAATAGCCAACAAACAAACTGGGATTTTATCTTATTTTTTTGGTATATATAATCAAGTAGTCAGAAATCAAGTTACCACACTTGTAACCAGACAGAAAACTGAAAAACACCAGTTACCAAGTGAAAGTATAGTAATAGCAACAAACATAAGATCATGTGAAAGATAATTTTGAATCTACAAATTCAGACATGCATAAACACCTCTGCTGCTCCATCAACATACTCTTTACAGCATGCTATGCAATTTTCCACAGAAAAAAATTTTATTACCTAGTACCGATCCACTTACTCATGGTGTTAGGAAGGACAAACTAGAGGCACACCTAACATTTGGGGTACATGGACTATGGACTTCAAGAGACATATTTCTTGGTGGGTTTTGTGTCACTAGATTAGAGGAACATCCCTACGTAGATGCCTCGAGCACCTACTGAATCATACTATTACTCCTAGATTTATATGTCCCATTCAAGTTACAAGAGATTAATTTGAATTGTGATGAATACTAAGTCTCCCTTTATTACTTGTCTGTTTGCTTAACAACTGAGCTTATGGTTTATGGGAGATGGATCTATTCTTCCATGAACAACTGATAAGTTACCAAGAATATGGACAGAGTTTGTTCATCATAAAGTTTGTAAATATAACTGCTCTCTCTCTCTCTCTCTCTGTGTATTTGGAAATCGATAGAATCAATGAGATACTTTTAAGGATGATTACCTGACAAAGTTCTCGAGCTCATCTTTCAATCCTCTTCCAAACAAGCGCATCAAGAAATCAACTTCCACCTTTTGTACCCAATAAAACCAAAACAAACCACTTATTAATGTAGAAAAAATTAAAACTAAGACGAAAAACAGAGGAAAAAAGGAAAAAATTACTAACTTTGAAGATCAAACACAAGCGAAAGGCAAAAATGAACATACTTTTGGTCGAAACCAGTTATCTGATGAAAATGCAAATACAGTAAGAACCCTAATAATCCCCCACTTGCAACACAGACCCATAACCCTTCTCAATGCCCTAATACCCGCTTCATAACCCAACACGACTGGTAAGCCTCTCATCCGGGCCCACCTTCTGTTTCCATCCATTATTACCGCCACGTGCTTCGGCATGAACTCTTTCTGGAGCCCCGCCGGCAATAATAAGTCTTCCTCCGCCGGAACACCGGTATCGGCTCCCACTCTTCCATTAACGACGGCGTTTTGGTCTTCAACGATAATCGCATTTTTTGCAGTGGCAAAGAGACAACACAGGAGGTGTTTGGGTCTTAGAGGGGTGTGTGGCACGAGCAAGAGAGATTGAGGTTTGGGTTGAGGAGAGAGAGTAGGGTCAGTGAGTGGAGAGATACTCAGAGAGAGTTGCAGAGAGGGCATTAGTGCAGGGGGTCTGGTCTACTTTGGTGTTATTGACAATGGTTTAGCCGCGGGATGAGATAGAAAACTAACGGTCACAATGACTTTTCCAACTACCCACCGTCCCACGAATTTGGGTCTTACAACTCAATTAAACGGGGTGAGTCGAGCCATGGAGCATGGTGCTGCCCAAGAGGGCTGCCAAAGCCCAACCCACTAAATCTGCCGTCAATCACACAATTTTTAATTTTTTGAGTCGTAATTAATATAGTATAGTTGTGATTAACACTGGTAATCGAGTTAAGCTATTTGAATTCAATTTTTAATTTTGCTTGTATCATGTTACTATTGAATTTAAATTGTTAAGGAATTTTTGTGATCAGAATTTTACTTAATATACCAATAATTTATTCGTACATTAAACTTCCATATATAACTATCAGAATATATGCATTCCATATAAAACTTCCGTTAATTATTAGAATATTTAATAAATGATTTTCATATATACTTCAATGATCTAACCTATGTAACTTTTTATAATTATCAAATGTCGTTTGTTGTTATTCTATAGGGTAGGAATACAATAGTAAACTTGACAAAAAAAAGTCTTAAAACCAAATAAGTTTTCTTGTCCAATTTATCTCCAAATAAATCTATATAGGGGACCATCCTCTAAATTCCCTAATATAAAACAGGGCACCTTCAACAAACAAATCTAACGGTCTCAAATCAATTCATCAAACGACCATTAATATACCTTTCATTTCCCCCCAAAATCATCATTTTTCACCCATTAACATTTTTCAAAATTTTAACCTCTCGATCAATATTCAATCACCTCACCCCATCTCTTTTTTTTCCCCCTCGCTTCTGTCAGACGAGCCATTTCTCTCTCTCTCTCTGTTATGCCCCCAGCGACACCACCAGCACCATCGCTACTTCGTCGACAACACCACCTCCATTGCTAACCATTTTCAGGTATCCCTGATCTCTCTCTCACACACAAACACACACTAATCTCCATTAGAGAAAATGATCGATATAATGGTTATTTCTGTATTCACATTGCACACACACACCCACAGCGCACACCACACACATACACACAAATCGCACACACACACACACACAAACAAACTCATACACTTTGGACACCAAGTGTTTGTTCCATTTAAAATTGTGGTCATTCTTTAATCTTATTTATGTTTAGTCATAATTATGAGTTTATTTTGCAATTGTACTATATATTTAGGCACAACTATGAGTGTATGACGTGCAGAACAATGGATATTATTGTTTGATGCCTAAAGCAATTGGTAAATAGTCATGTTTAGGGATGACGATGGTTAATATTATGATGTTTTTTTTTAGTAATCAGTATGTATATCTAATCAAAAATATATATATATATATGCATATGACATGGTTTGCTTATGATTCTAAAATATATAAGTTATATAGACAAGTTGATATATTTGTGGTATTATATTTTCAAAGGATACTCTGTCGAAAAATTTAAAATTGCTTACATTGATTTCAATTTCTCTCGTTACATGGTTTTTGAATTAAGCATATTTTTTAGTGACCCAAAATGTAATTCAATACGTCTTGCTTGGTTTTTGTTCATTCATTGACATAGCGATTGATTTATAAGTAGTTTATGTCATTTTGTTTTGTGATTAAAGTAGTATATGATTGAAAAATTTTATAGGTTTATTTTAATTTTTTAAGAATTTTATCTTCTATTAGTCACTTTTGCAAGTATGAATATAGTTGTTTTGTATAGGAAGAATTATATTGTGGTAATTAATATATAATTGGATTTCATTGTGTATATGACATAATTTAATTATGATTATGAGATATATAAATTTTGTAGACAGATTGATATATTTGTAGCATCATATTTTCAAAGGATACTCTGCCAAAAAATTGAAATTTTTTTTACGGAGTATCCACATTTTGACCTTTTTTATTTCACTAAAGTCATAACATTAAAAATGACCAAACGATTTTTAGCGTAATGTATGTTTATATTCATTGTTTGATTATTTTGTATTTAAAAACTATGTACAGTGCCTTCAGACATGTGATATAGGGTGAGTTTAAGCCTTCAGTTTTTTATTTGATTATTCAATGTTCGATTTTTCTTAGTTGCACTGTGCCTTTAGACACTGGTTATCCCTAGTATATACATATATTATGTATACATTAATTTTATATAAAAATACAATGATAAAATGTGTGTGTGTGTACATATACATATATATATATATATATTTTTTTTAAAAAAAAAATAAATAAATAAAATAGAATATTAGCGTTAAATTTTTTATTCAAAGTTTATGTTGATCAACACGAATACGAACACGACACGAAAATAAACAGGTCAACTCGCAACTTGACACGACATAATTAGTTAAATGAATTGCGTTAAGTTTGACTAATGTTCGATACAAATCCGTAATGAATCAACGCAAATCTGACACAACACGAGACACGACTCGATTGTCACTCTTAATCTTAACCAACACAAAAAAAAATAGTCATTTTTATTTTCCATCCATCCAACTAAACACAAAAAAAAATAGTCATTTTTATTTTCCATCCATCCAACTAAACACAAAGGAAGGAAAGTGTATCATTCCTAATTTCTTTCCTTAAAGGATAGAAAATGTTTTCCTCCTACTTTCTATCTTTCATACCAAACAGAGAATAAATCGACCGTCAATTCACACAATTTTTAATTTTTTGATTTGTAATTAATAAAGTATAGTTGTTATCAAGACTGATAATCAAATCAAATTACTCGGACTCAGTTCAAATTTAAATCGTATAGGGTTTGACTCGAACAATTTTTCAGACTCATTTTTGTAAATGAGCTTAAAAAAACTCAATTCAAACTCACAAAACTCGACTCGTTCATATGTCAAATAATCTAACTACTCGGGCTCGACTCGTTTAAAACTCGGCTCATTTACTCCTTTTTTAAATGAACTAAATTTAAACAATTTTTCAACACACTGTCTCCCATTCGTAAAACTCAACTTAATTATTAACCCAAGCTGTGATAACTAACTCGACTGGACTTCATCATAGTGCAGGATTTGGGCCGCCAACACCCAACCCGGCCCATGGGCATCCCCAGTTACACCACGGAAGGGAACCTTTTTAGAGAGAGAGAGAGAAATCTACATGTTGCTCAGACCAAGCTAACAATACGCAAATATCTATCAAAATAGTGCGCCAAAATGTTCAATTGATCATATCACTTCACAGTCTACTTCACTTGCTTGTGCAATGAAAAATATTACAATGGATTGAAAAAAAATGGCATATACACTACCAGCAGCATTCCAAGTCTTGCACAACCTATTGTATTACAAAATTAGAGGCCGAAAATGATTACCGACAGCTCGTATGCTCTCCCACCTCTTACAATGCTTTTACCATGATATGAAACCCACAAAAAGGTCAATGCTTGAGCTAGACAGGCAAAAATGAAAAGAAAAAATTAGCAAGAAAAAACCATTCAAGTATCGTATGTAAAAAATCTAGGTATCACAATCACTGTTCACTAGCAGTCAGCCTGCTTGTGTTTTTTGCGATTTTCCTCCATCATTCTTTGAAACTCTTTCTCACTGGCAGAAATCAGATGTTTAACAGTGTCGAAGGTGGTAAGCCTAATGCTGCAATTGAAAAGGAGGTGAAAATTGAGACCAGATCATTATAACATCCTGAAAAAGTCTTCCATCAGAAATATGAACTTTTGGGAGGTGTTATTAAAGAACAGAGTCCCAGACTAAGGTGATCCCAATGAAATGTGATTACCTTCGCCATGGGATGTCCTAGCATTGCCTTATTATTTCGGAAATATGCATGAAAACTCTTGGTTAACTTTTATTTCCTTCTTAATTAATGTTTCATGACAAGGCAATTGATGTTTGTTTGAGAGAACAGCCTACTCATAGAGGAAACATTGCAGAACTTGGCCAAAGCCAAGGCATTCTCAACTGCAACTAACTCGCCAAAAAAGACTAAAACAGAATGCCTCACCTGTCTACTTGAAGACTAGACAATGAACACCAAAAGAAATTGCACAAAAAAAAAAAAAAAGAACAGATAGGATGAGATGATAAACGAAACAACATGAACCTGCTGTTTGGTAGAGTTTTCAATGCAGTGGGCACAAAACCCCTGTACAATCCAAGAAAGCCATCACGTGCCACAATTCCTGCATTAAAAAAAATCCAAGACGACAATAACTAGTTGTTGGATAAGTAGCGAGAAGAAGAAGACGAAGAACTGTTTCATAGTACAAGGGAACTTCAATTAATTTTTGAACATTGTGTGCAATACTTGTATAACTAACTGTGTTTCAGTCAAATAATACGCGAATTCAAATCCTACAGGGAATTAATATACGTGAAAGTAGTCAAAATGTAGTGAACCAGTGATGAGCCCTCAAGCAACAGGTCATGGTAATGGAAAACAAAGAGAAGGGGAAAAGAAACAAGCAAAAATATCACATGATGTCCGAAACTTAAGACAAAACCAAATATATCTTAGCAATGACATTTATTATTCCTATATTCCAGGGATATATGTAAACAGAATGCTTTGCTGTCCTCTTTCATGAAAGAAAAATCCTTTGGACACCTTAAGTTGTGCACTTCAATAGACAGTTTTCAAAAAGACAAACCACTCTAACTCAGACCACGCAAAAAAACCAATTGGGACAGCCAAAATCACAATGATCACGAGGGTGTGTTCTATGTTTTAGGCTACGCATGCTTTTATCTTATAAACTGCAGGTCCATCCTGAAAAAGAGCGACTTTAAGCCTGACCATACCAAATGCTGCAACAACTTAGGTGGCTTAATTACTTAACCACCACTTAAAATAACAACTACTTAGCATTAGCTTACCTGGAAAGGCATCCAAAACCGTCTTGTGAGGTGAACCCTTCATTTGCATTTGCCGTCTGACTGTGTCCAACGGATAGCACATGAGTGTGCCAATTGTAGCTGATACCAAAGCTATTGCTAGGGACATTTCAGTCCTCTTCTGATATTTCTCAGGCAAAGACTTCTTCACCCTTGACATTTATCAGACAAATGTAAATTCAAGATTAAGCACTTAAAAAGGTATTGCCAAAATTATAAACCCTCCCTAGAAGAAAAGGATGAAAAGAAATTGCTGAAAAGGTAAGCTCACAAATCAAAAACGCAAAAGTTCAAAGCAATGTAAGGAGCTATTGCAGTAAGCGAAGGTCCAAGACCATTATAGAAGGATGCAACTCCTTCCTCTCTCAGCATGTTAACGGCAACCTACAAATCATTCCATAATACCCACTGTTATATAGGTAGCTCTTCTGGTCATAGATAGATAATAAGTCCATCCATCTCACCTCTGTCATTGTTAAGTACCCCGGCTCAATTGCTAATCGTAACCTGAGGACATCTAGAGGGTATGTAACCTGTAAGAGACAAGGAGTCAAAGGAGCAAAACTTTGAGTGCCTACAGAGATACAAAAGGCAAAGATGATAACAAGAGGTGAGAAAGGAATAATAAAACAAATCCACATGAAATGCATAATCACCCACATTATACAGCTCATTAGTGAATGTATGAATTCTTATAATCAGCTTCTTTTTTTTTTTTTCAGAAAACAAAAACCTGAATCCAAACACATTGCCTTGTAATAGATAAGGAGATGATAATTTCAGCATGTTGTGTCCTATTGAGCTTACAAATGTGCTAGTCATGCCAGCACAAGCACCTGCCGCTAGTCTTCCAATAACAGAGATCTCACCATCTTTTCCACTAAAAACTTTCTGCAGTTCAAATACCACCAAAAAAAAAAAAAAAACAATAATAATCAGTCTCAAACAAAATTAATCTAAAAGCATATATACATCACTGCTATGATTTTGTTAGCATATGGCTTCATCATTACCTTGTAGGTTTCATAAGCAAACAGCTGGACCGCACTATAAGGTATGATACGTAACACCTGGAAAGTTGAAAAGAAATCTGGAGATTGTGCCACTCAACAATAACTGTACTCAATTGTTAATCGAACAACCATGACATTTACGAAGTGAATGATGCAAAGAACCTGAGGAAGGTTGCCTTTCCAGTACCCTTTAATTCCTTCTTCCTTTCCTATTGATGTAAATGCCTGCAATTGTATATCCAGGTATGCACAATCAATAAACATCCAGCTACCATATAAGACAACAACGAGTACACAGAGAAACTCTATATATCTCTGTACAAACACATATAAGGCACTGATGGTTTATCCTATATGGCTGTAAAGAGAAGCTAAAAAGAGGCATGAGAAAGTGTCATACAGTCGGAATTCACATACAGGATAATCTGTATCTATACTAGTAATAAATCTACCTTAACATAAAAAACTTTTAATTTCCTATATTATCCCTATTTAGATTTCTATCTAATCATACCCTAATCTCTTATCTTATTTGATTTAAACAATGACAATTTAATATATCAATGGTGTATATTACTCTATGAGAAAGTTAATAGACACTTTTATTCAAGTCTTCTTCTTATCTACATGATGGAAGTATAATTGCAACTATTATTTAAGGCAATAAAAACATGATAAATAGTATGCCATTACAAATCAAAGTTATGGAAGTTAAAAGAGCTTGGTGCAAATGAAGGGACAAAAAAAGTCATAAAATCCAAATGTCTAATGAATTACAAAGGGCATATGTGCCAAGTATAAATCCATCCCACCCTCAATCCATAGCAGCCACCCAGTAACACAAATTACATACAGTCCAATTTAACAATAAAATCTTCATTTTAAATTTTAAATACCAAAAAAAAAAATTGAAAAACATTGTTACGGTATTAAAATCAATTAAAACATTAAGGACTTGATTGTTCCAATTGAGATTTCAAGAACCAAGTTAAAACATGACTCATACTTGGAGAGTATAAAACTTATAACACTCAAATAAAAATTATACTTCAACCTAGGTCACATGCAACGTACGTGTACACCAACTTGTTATCAGAAATGTCATTTAGGAACCTGCAATACCTTTATTTTCTTGATAGGATAAACTATCTTCACATTTATTTTTCCCCATTGTGCAAAGTAAGTGTATAAAAAACACACTGTTAACGATTTGGATCTCAGACTAGAAGCAGACTAAATTTGATTACAGCATTAAGTGAGTGGGACATTACAGAGTTTAAAGTTACCTATCACTTACCTCTCCAAAACTCTAGGAGAGACCCTTGTGCATTATGTTCATCCTACAACTAAAGTTCATGGCTATAAAATCTATGCCATGGTATTCACATCATGGCATTCTCTCCTCCACTCATCCCATCAATCATTTTGGCTTTCAATACGTTGCAACAAAAGAAAGATCGAGGGTGGGCCTTGGCACAACGGTAAGTGATAGGACACAAAACGACTCTCCAACTCTCGTATCAGAACACGGTATATAAACTTAAAAAGTGAAAAACCAAAGAGGTTGGTCAATCCTGAGAAAGGAATTTGGGAGAATATACTCTAGGCTAAAGGAACAATGTGTATCCCGGAGCCAAGCATTTAATGCTAGGTAGGTATATGGGCCAACCATGACTCAACGAGTCACACAGAAAATGATTGCTTTGGCCGATAAGTCACATCATAATGTACTTCGAATCTTAGGAAATGCGGATAAAGGCATGACCCTTACTAATGTGAATTTCTTGGGGGCATGCGAACTTAATGTTCGATGTCAATGCAATGAGTCGGTACAGCTCAATAGATGCCTTGCAGAGATCATTAAATGCTGAATGGGGCACGATTTGAGTGCTCGACATCCCGGACGGGATAATCATTGCAGGACCAGACCCCGAGGAGATGTCGACCTCCGCAGGCCTAGTAATTGTGCGGCTCGAGATAAGTATAGCTCACTTATTATTACCCAGCTCCCTCAGCCAGCTTGATGGGACCCCTATAGTGTAACGTCATCCTATTAGAAGGTGTAAATACCCCTAATGAGTTGGGTCTCAGTATGCATACATGAGCTACCTAACACAGTAAAAATGTTATCCTCCCTTTAAGCACCTAGTGACTTAGGCATTGGAGGGGATAAACCAGACACATCTCTGACCCTTCTGACCTTCTCTGTTGCATGAATAAATCACACATTCTCTACGTGGTACAGTTATCTCAAATTATTTCAGGAAGTCAACCTGCAGTAAGGTTGTTCCATTGTGACCTGAGGTCACTGGTTCGAGTATAAGGTTACATTCATCTAACTCTTCTTAGATCCCGTAATAATGAGAGCCTCGTGTGTGATGGGGAACGTATTATATGGGTACGCCTTATATGCTTGGTTCAACTCTAGAAAAAAATGTTCATGGAATCTGTGCCAAGCGTTTGGGCACAACAAATATAGGTAAGAAGGACTCTATACCTCAATGAACCCAATGCTCTTCTTAGCACTTTCTGCCCCAGTTCTGAATCCATGGGTCTGCAGACAGATAATATTGGTTAATAAAAAGCACAATTTCCTTTAAGGAAAAGAAGCATAATTCCTAATCGAGGGATACCCTCCAGCTAGCTAGAACAATAACCGTAATATACAAATTCCACAAGATTTAGAAAGTGAAATTGAAGTAATTTGACACAAAATTAGGATTAAGAAGAAATAAAACAAAACCTGCATTAGAAGCTTGATACGGTCGAGAGGCGCAGTGACGGTCTTTGCGGCAACACCGGCAATAGCGCCGGCGGTGAACAACGCCGCCTCTTTAGGAACCAAAGCAAGCAAAACCAATGGATGCTTTAGGAGCTGCGCCGTGGTTGGCACCAACTCTCTCTCCTCTCTCTTTTCCGCCACAGAAACACAAGCAAAATTACTGCCACGGCCACCGCTAGCATTATTACCGGCACCCAGCCGTTTGCTACACCAATGGTCTTCTCTTGTTAATTCGAGACCAGGAATCTCTCGCCAAATCAACATGGTTTGGTCTTCTTTCATTTTCTTGAGGTTTGATTATTCAGCAGAGGAAACACTAAGGGGACTAGGAAAGAGGTTTTCGTGTTCGTGTTCCTCTGCTCGGAGACGATAAGGTAGTGCCCCGAAAGTGGTTACTAACGTTGCGTTTGGTGTGCTTTTTACTAAGAATGGAATAGAATTGAATGTGCATTACCGACAACTATTTAAAATTAAAAGCGTAAGAAAGAAATGTTCATTCTATTTTTGTTTGGATAAAATAATTTTTTCATTACAATCAAAATAATTTTAACCAAAATATCTACGGTGATTAAAAATAATTAATAATAACTTTTTTTTTATAATTACGATTACCTTTGAAAGTTATGTATAAAAAAATTTATAATTAGAAAAAATGAGAATCTATTGAAAAAAATTAAACCCCTATAAATTAAAAAAAAATAGAAAATAAATTCCTACAAAAATAAGTTTACAAAAAAATCAAAATAATAAATTATTCAAAATTTATCATTCATTTCAAATGAACAACCGTAGTTCTTTGTGAATTTAATAGAGTACATGTGCAAATCCAAAAAAAAAACTATCAAGACAACTAGGAATCTTATATGAACATGTAAGTTGAACTAAAAAAAAATCGATAAAAAATAAGTTCAAAAAATAATCAACAATATACCGAAAACAAAAACAAGTTGAATAAAAATAAGAATTCTTAAATTCCATTCATTTCATCTTAATAGCAATGGAGGTAGAATTCCAAGAAACAACATCATTCTCAAATATAAGTACAAAAAATTACACTCTTTTGTCTACTTACTCTCCACTAATAAAATATTTTGTTTGCCTAATTCAATCTAAATGTTGATCACTCGTTGAATGTTTCAATCGTGGTAATACAATCATCACATGCATAATTTTTCACCACAAGACCTGCTTCATCTACCTCCACCCCGATTGGGTCTATTGACATATGATCTCTTGATGTAGTTGTGAAGCAAACAACAAACTATTATTAAACAATTTTGTATTTTTATAGGGTAAAAAGACTGGCTTCTTAAAATAGCCCAACGTTTGTAACGCCTCAAAAACCCCCGTGGGTGACATTACATTCTAAAAATCATTTACCGTATGAGAGCATTAAGTAAAATTCATCACGACGAAAGTTTCATTCATCAACCATTCATATTTTAACAAAATTTGGGCAGAGTCTCCTTTGTACGGGGAGCTCTACCCAAAACACAACCTGTACAATTATATTACAATTGACCACACCGGGTCCACATATGCATAACTATTGACCACACCGGGTCCATTTTTCCATCATAAAATAAACTTGCATTCATCATATGTCATATCCACACTATCATCCCAAATTAATAGGTCTAATCTTGGCCTTTACATCTCCAAAATGTAATAATATAACGCAGCGGAAATAACAGAAATGAACTAGAGTTCAAAAGGATATTCTAAGCATAATCTAGTCTAGAACAAAATAAAAGTGTCGCTCTAAGCGTCCACCTCGGGATCCACATCCCTGTCAAGCGGAGTCTTCCAATGGGTGGGCTCCTCGGCTCCTAACTCCTCCTCAAGTGTGAAATCTGAAAAATTTTTATTTGTAGGGGGTGAGCACGAAGCTCTGTAGCAAAATCCTCTCAACTCAAACAAGGTTTGAAAAACATAGCAAACGGTCGGTCTCATTTCACAACTAACATATATATAGGTTTGGAATGAAAACAATGTCATTTTAAAAGAGATCTCAAATTTAAACAATAGCAATAATCAGTTAAAAGAATAAAGTGAGTTTAGCATCGATAAACAAAATTCTAATTTAAGCTATTTAAGAAGGGCTTCTCCCTAAGCATTGTCTCGTACCAATGCGTCGGCAAGAACGACCCAACTCCCGATTCCATGTATTTTTGGTTCATCCCGTACCATGTATGTTGATTGCTTCTCGTGAATCTACCTAACGATCATGCCTAGTCCACCAATTCCAACCAACAATCACAAATCTCTTTAGGAAGGGCGTGTACCGTCTCCTACGGCATTGACGAAATCCTCCCAAGGTGTCTAGTATACTAACCTTTTTCCTCGGTGTATATGTGAACAATAGTGATCGCGAGCACAACAACGATCCACTACGAGCATTAGACAACCATCTCACCCCCCATTGGGATAGACTAACCTCTAACACTCTACGGCATCTCTCGAAGGTAATCCAAGTCCATCACAACAACCATACAATGAGGAAATCAAGAATATTCACAATTCACAACAATTTTCCAAATATAGTAAAATCCCCAATTTTATTTTCACATTTGTCATATAATCGAATAATCCAAGAAAATATGCAAGAGATCGTAATCTATATCATTTTGTTATACAATATTCAACACTAAAGTTTTAAAATCAAAGACAAAGAAGAAATTAGGAGAAAATCCCCTTTTCTTGAAAACTAGGGCTTTAAAGATAAAAAAAAAATCAATAGAGCTTGGGTGGTTACACACCCTTCATATTGTTCAAAACATGGAATTTATTACAAATAGAACAAGAATCATGTATTTCATATTATATATATGAGAAGGAGAGTGAAGAAACATATATCTATATACATATATATATCTAGCCTCAATGTGAGAGATTGAGAGAAAATCCCCTACCTTAAATCAAAATTCCAAGTTAAAACCCAAGCTTCAAGACCTTCTTGCTCTCCTTTCTTTTTCTCTTAATCTTCTCCTCCTAGGGTTTCAAAATATTTGGGTGAGAGGATAGCAAGAATGGAAGAAAATGGGAGGAGAATGTATTCTTGAAGAATTTGAAGTTTTGATTTCTACAAGGTATAAATCCCTCTTGATTGGTATTTCTATCTTCCTCTCTTCCTCTAAAATGGTTCCTAGGGTTTGGAGGGGTGAAATGAATGCTAAAGGGATGACATTAGGTTTTTATAGGGCAAGAAAATCGAGCAAAACCCGATATTTTGTGTTCAGAAAAAATCGGGTTTCCTTCGTACTGTTCACAGATTTTTGGTGCGACTTCCAGGTCAGTTTTGACCCATTTAGAGGTCGAATTGGAAATTTTTCATGAAATAAACTTTTGTAGCCTTAGATGTATACTATTTTCTGTAAAAATTTCAGATCAATTGGACATCAAAATATAAAGTTATGATCAAAATACTAAGCAGTGTCCATTACCCCTTTTTACCCAATTTCACTCCAATTTGGTTTTACTTCTAAAATACTTCCTAACTTCTAATACATCCCATATTACCTCTCCCAATGTTTTCCGACCTCCCGAATTCAATGGTAATGTTATTTTGATAAAAAAAAATTTAATATATTTATTTAGTTACCCTTATCAATCTTAAACACATCCAAAAAAAAAAAAAAAAAATTAAGTTTGACCCAAAAGTCAATCCGTTCGAAACTCAAACTTCATGATTAATATTTCAACAATGATTCTAAGTTTTTATCCTCATTTTATTCATATTTGAAAAACTCTTAAGATATTAGTATTCTTATTTAATTTTTAGTACAGGGTCTTACAACGTTTCTTCAGCAGCCCAAAACATCTTTCGACTACATGTCTAGCAAAAGAATGCTTCATATTAAAGAACTCTTCAAGTGTTCTAGGTTGGTGACCGTCTCTCCCCTATTTTAAGTGATACATTTGACCTCTAAATGGGGCAAGAAATCCCTTGTCGTTGGTATGTCCTCCATCCACAAGGTAGTAAGTACCACCATTCACCACCAACCCATTCCTTATAATTATGACATCTCTAAGCACCTTACCATTTGCCGCTGACCCTTCCCAACCAACTAATACATACATGAAGTTCATGTCTTGTAAGCATACTCCTAAGACATTAGTAGCAATATCTCTTGTTCGGGATCAATACCTAGGTACTAAAAATTGTTATTAATTATTTTTAGTCATTGTGGATATTTTGGTTAAAGTTGTTTTCATTCCAATGAAAAAATTATTTTATCCAAACATAAGAATGAAATGAACATTCGATTCTAGAAGTTAATCCTAAACAGTTGTCAAACATTAGAATGATAATGCGCATTCTATTTCATTTCCAAGTTCATTCAATTCTCAAACTCATTCCATTCATATTAAAAACCATTACTGCAAACCAAACGCAATGTATATGCTTTTGTTTTATTTATGTTACAAAGACTAAGAATTTTTATATTATATAGATTCTCTCGAATATATGATTTTTTTAAATCTCTTCATGGAAAATCATTCATCATTAATGATTGAGGAACTCACTTATATATAATAAATTATACTTGAATACATCATATGTGATCTATTAAGAGAAAGAGTAATGCTATTTGGACTTAAAAAATTAATTTGCTGACATAATGATGTAGGTTCAGTAAAACCATTGAATCAACATCAACATCTAATGACTGATGGGCTCTGCAATCAATCTAAAAGTCATAGCGAATTATATCAATAAATTAGGTCTCACCAGAAAAAATTAGAGAAAAAATGTACTGGAGACACTTGCTTTAAGGTGCTAGGATCGAACGTCAGGGTCGGATCTAACACAATGCTAAAAAGAATTGGGGTTTTTAGAAGTCGGTACACCTAATTAGACTTATTTGGCAAAAAATACATATTACAAAATATTTTAAAAAATGGTACACTAATTAGATACAAAGACATAAATGCTCATTTTAGGGAAAATGGTGCATTAAATATCTCCTAGTTTTATGGGAGAACATTAATATTTAATGCACATTGATTTATGTGTGTGTGTATTTATATATATTTATATATATTTCATACATATATTTATATACGTATATAAATACATAAATTACAATATGAAATAAAACTAAGATACTTACAATACTAGCACTAAGTGGGCTAGTAGTGAAAGAGGATAAGAGAGAAACTCTTCATTTGCATTATTATGAGAGATCTGAAAAATACAGGTTTTTGGAGGTAGGAGTGTTTTGCTAGGTGTGTAATGGATTTTTCCTTTGCAAAAGACTTGCCTCTTCTTTCCCAGAGGA